GATAAACAGTGACATGGAAGGCAGAAGTCCTTGTCGTAGTTCTCCAATTGCCAAGTCTTGCATGCTCTTATTAATTCAACAATTATATTTATCCTTTTTAGATATATCAGATGAAAACACTTATGCAAATACAATCACATGCCTAATGAGTTGCACAATTACTGGGGTTTATTTACAAAACAAAGGTCATTTTTCTTAATATTTAGCACAACATTCTTTGCACACTTCATGGTACCGTCATCCTATCAGCTACACCCTACAGAATTAAACAGAGAGAAGAAGAGAATAAAATCAGAAGGAAAAAACAAGCCAACTCTGAATGTACCTGATGCTCTCAGTGGGAGACAAGGCTGAAGGCTGTTCTAATATGAAGGAAACATCAACCTTTTTATAGCAGCCTGAATCAAAATCAGCTAAGAAGTCTGAGAAAGAGAAGAGCTTGACAGTACCATACAGGTATAGTCAATAGTAAGGAGCTTTGCCACCCACATCCACACAGCCAGCCAAGCCTTTCATTCATATCCTTTCTCTTACTCCCACTCAGCCCCACAGGTAGTATTCAAAAAATCTTTCAAGCATCCTGATGGATAAAAGACTTCATTTAATACAAAGGCTCCCACTGTATAAGAACAATACCTACTTAGGAAGTCAAGTTCTGTGTCAAACTGTTGGAAAGAATACTTGGGTTTCTACTGAGTTCATGAGCAACTTACTAGAAGAAAGCAGTAACTTCTTGTTGCCTCCCATCAGCTGGAACCTGAAACATCTGAAGTCACCTCACCTAGGGGGGCAGATTATTCTTTCTCTACTATTCCTTCCTCCCATTTCAGAACTTCACAGAAAAAGGGATTTAGGGTACTTAGACCTTAGCTAATTGGTTCTCCACTCAATGTTTCACTATTCTCCAGTTTCACAAACAGCTCTAAGATAGACTTCTGTGTCTGTTGCTCAGAACTTTCCTAGAGATACATCCAGGCAGAACTGCCCTAGCTGTTAGTAAGTTCGCTCTCATTAGAGATTACTCTGGTAAAGTTGGCAAAACCGATTGGTGTTAATTTAGTTCTACATCCAGTCTAGAAATAGGTATGTTGAAGAACAGAGACATTAGCCGTAGATATATGCTGATGTGGCCCATGTTTGAAAAATTACCTTCACAAACATCAGGTATATGTATTATTTTATTAGTGCATATTGAAAGGATGCAGTCACAGGAGAATCTATGGCACAAATCTTATTGTATTATTGCTGTACAAATGCAGAATGGAAGCAGGTTTGGTAAAGAGAGGAGAAGCACTTGATGGTCTATATCTTGATTTTAAAAGGCTTTTAACATTGTCTCACCATGACAACATACAGAAATATGGCTCAGTGAAACTACTCAATGATGGGTAATGATGGCCACTTGTTAAGTGTCCTTATGAGCAGCTATTAATGAAACATTGTCAGAAAGGAAAACTGTCAAACGAGGTTCCAACAGAGTCTGATCTTGGTCTGGTTCTATTTATTTTTTCACTCCTGACCAGGTTGATAGAAAATAAATTGTACTCAACAAATTTCAGATAAAAGTAAGCTAAGAGGCACTACAACTACTCAGGAGAAAATCATTAAAATTCCAGAAATAGTCTGGAGAAAGAAAAAAAAAACAAAGTATGCTATTCAACAGAGACAAATGCAAGGGTCTACATTAAAAAAGAAATAATCCAGTAAACAAATAAAGGATGGGAAACAGTGATGGCAGCTCTTTCAAAAGGACACAAGGGCTGTAACAAATCAGAAAAACACATGAATCACCCACAACATGCTGTTCTGAAAATGGAAAACATCTCACTGGGATGTAGAAACTGTAATAAAGCTTAAAAACACATAAAGTACTGGCTCTACTGGGGTATTCTGCCAGTACTGCACTTCAACAAAAAGGTGAATCAGCTGGAGAAAGTCTAGAAAAGGACAGTAAGAATAACTTAAGGTATAAAATATAGGTCTTATAGCAAAAGACTGAAACATTTGGAGCTGTATGGCCCAGCAGGGCCACAGAGGCTAGAAGAGGGATAATGATAGTCCTGAAAGATGCAGAAAAGCTTTTTTAAAGTTTTCTCTATGTCAATAGTGAATAAGGTGAGAAATTATGATCTTAAATTGCACAAAAAGATAGATTCAGGTTATACTTTAGGAAAATCTTCCTAAGAATACAGACAATGAAGCAGTGCAATAGATTGCCTGGAAAGATTGTGAAGTCTGCTTCACATTGGAAGGGACGGCTGAGATTATCTTGACAAGATGACTTCAAGCCATATTTATCAGTAGTCTGTAACTATGTTCTTCCTTAAACAATTAATACATACTTGCATAGAAGCATTCATAAAGCAGATAAACAAAACACCTCAAAACTAAAAATAGAAAACTTGGGAAATAAATATATTGTCAAGTATGAAAACTTACACTATCATCTTTCCAATTTTCATCCCTTTAAAGTCAAAGCCATTTATAAAAGTGGGAGCAGGGTATGGCCAAAACTAGGGGATTTTCCAAATATGAAACTATCTACTTGGCATAGCCCTCACAGTATAAAAAACTCTATTAACTTTTATTTGATTAGGACATTTTGGTCTTCACCCAATAATAAAACTGTAAAACCCCCTCCCTTTTTCATTAGGAAGAAGAAAAATAACATAAACTATCAATTTCAAATATGCATAGCTTGTACTTATATACTGCAAATTCAGTGGTACTAATTAGACAGTAGCTGCCAAACTGCTATGCTCGTGTGATTTTTGTAATGATAGATTTCAGGAACCAACAGGACAGGCTGCATAATAATATCTGAAAGTAAAATATCAATGAATATATACAATAAAATAGTATAATTACACAGAAACAGTCTATTACATTACTTACCTGCTAACTACATACAAAGATGATTCACAAAATAGATATTTTAAAATACTGATAAATTTGCTGATTATAACTCTGTTTATAACATGTGTCTTTTACCCAGTATTTTAAGGTTTATTAATCAGCTTTCAATTGATATTCAACTTAACTTGTGGCTGCGGTAGCGAGAGGTGTTATATCCTGGTTGTCTATTTCTAGACAAAAACAATGTATCAATGACAAGTCTCCTAAGTCTATTAGCAATGTTTGATCTTTAAAATGCAGCACTCTGAATGACATATCGATAAAGTACAGGACTGTGACTCAGGAGACCAGAGTTTTGGAGTTTGAGCCCTGTTTTTTTAAGCAGCTTTGCAGGTACCCTTGGAAAAAACTATTTCACCTGTCTTTGCCAATCTGTCTCCAACATTAAAAACATACTGGCCTCCTTTATTAAGCACTCTGAGCCTCATTCAAATCATCTACCCACTTAAGCTTGTCTAAGGCATTGCAACTACTTTTCCCTGGCGACCAGGTAGGCAGCTAGAATAACAGCCTTCAATGCCACAAATAATTTTGCATGTCAAGATAAGAAGGGTGATTTCAATCTGAGGCATAATTCTTCTGGTGACACACCTATCCCACGCTCCCCTGCCAAACCATCTTGAACTGGAGAACTTGCATGTGAATGTTTTTAGCTTCTAGCGTGAACTCAGCTCATGTTCACCCAGCAATGGCAGTATGCCACTAACTTAGAGATCTGAAGGTTGTCTGAGAGATCAGACAGGGTTATCCTTTGAGATCTACTGAAGAAAAAAAACATATAAAAGGTACTATCAGTAGTTCTATTCAGCTACCAGTACTGGTACAACTGGTATGCTTCTGACTCCCAGAGGAAACAGAATGGAGCTTGGTTGACATCAGTTTTTTCTCCCTTTCTCATGAGAAAAAAGGACACAAGTGGCAGGTTTTGCTCAGAAAGTATTTGGTCTCACAGAGTACTTGTTGTAACAGGACTCTCAGACTATTTCTTGTAAGTCTATGCCTCACTCTGTATATTCAGCAGCCTGGGAACTAACTGAAGTGATTTCAGCTGCAAAGGCTTTCAATATTCAAAAAACTTTTTGGATTGCAGTCATTCAGTCATTAAACCTTTTTATTACCTTCAAGTTCAGCTGGGGCCAGGATAACAGTCTGGAGCTCAAGCCAGGAAAAAAATGAAAAAAAAAAAAAAAAAAAAAAGCTTATCAGAGTTAGAGAGATGTATCAGAAAGAGTATGGCCTGCAGGCATGCTTTATCATTTGAAGGGACTTCCCTACCTGTGCTGAAATGAAAATTTATAGCTGCAGGCTCCTGTTGGACCTTTGTCTGTTAAATAAATGTGAGATAACTGCGATGTTCTGACAGGGTAACTGCATATTTTCCATTTGGATATGGATCTTGCCACAGCTGCCCATGCTCTTGCCACCTTTCCTGAATTATTGTTCTCTGCTCGTTTCCCCACGGGGATGGCACGGCACATTGCAGCTAGCAGAGAATGTATTCTCCTGGTGATCCTGCAGTGTTTTTCACAGAACGCAAATAGCTCCTGTATTGCAAAATCTGCCTGACTCCCAATCAATTTTCTGGGTGATGTTCTGACTTACACAGTTTGGATTGAGATTGCCACAGATACACATGATCTCATTTCTCTTCCCCCTTCTCTTTAGTACCAAGATGATTATCAAAGTAATTCTGGGTGGGGTTTTGTGGTTGGTTTTTTTTGCATGGGAATTACTACTAAAATTAGACAAATAGGATGAATTATATACTTTAAAATGAATCATAAATAAAACACAAATTAGTCATCGCATTTGCATACTGGTGATAATCAACGGTTGACTATTCTTAAATAAAGACATTGTTTTAAAGTTATTTAAATCCTGGGATCCCAGGCAATGTAAAAATAGATGATAACTTCATCATTCCAAAGCAAATAGCACAGCTTCTCTTTCTGGCATGTGCTCTACTTGAGCAGAATACTGATTGCACTTGATATCTTTTCAGCACAGACATAAGCTATCTGTTCTATTCATTTCATAAACATTTTTAAATGGATACTGAAATGGATGTTACCAGTAGGACAGACCTATCTCATTAAAGCCACTGTAGCCCAGCTCTTGCCTGCTTAGTCCCAGATCTTCAAGGTCCATGCATTTAAATCCAGGTGGGCACTGGTAACCTTCTTCTAGCTCTCTGGAACAGTGGGTGTCTGGGATAGCTAAATTATTCCAGGTTACATTTCTGTGAAAAATACAAAATTGAGGTGTTACATAAACTCAACCCATAGCAAAACTAAAAACTTGAAAGCAAGAGGACTAAAGTGAAAAGTACATCAGCTATTATTTTTGCTATCTGATGTTCTTTAGTATGTTATTTTCATTAAATAAGCTCTTACTGTAAAAGGCAAGCTAGCTATCTCCTGAGACTTCAGTCTTATGTAATGACAGTAGAAATACCAACAGCAGAAGTTTCATGCTAATGCCTAGAGACCCCATCAAAAATTGAGACTCTCCAGGACACAGAGGAGTCAACATACAGCTGCACCAAACTGCTCTTTATTGAAGTCTGGACACTTACTGCTTCAGGCTTCTTTGTAAATTCTGAGAGTGTGCTCAACTGCAGTGAATATTTTGACTTCCACAGACATTATCTGAGCTAGCTTTGACACTCTTTTAAAGGATCATTGTGGATGACTTGTTGGTCACCTGCGTACGCATACAGCTTCTTGTACCTTGGTCAGGCCAGGTTTCCACCACAGATAACCACAGACATAGGCAAGAAGTCAAATCATTACATGTTGAGTGCAATTAGTATCTAGGTATTGCTGTGACTGAAACAGATCCGATTCACTTTTAGGTCAGTCCAGTAATGATTTGGTATAACAGGTGAATAAATTGGAATGAGTTTGAACTGTTTCAAACTGATTTATGTTGGTAAATGGAACATCAAAAAATAGAAAGGTCATGAGACAAGGGGCAGCACTGCAACACAGTGTGTTGGCCATTTTATCTTGTTGCCAGAGGCTGAGCATCACTTGTCTTCCCAGCTCCACTGGCCCCTGGGGCTGAGCTGCTGAAGAGGCTCTGTCATGCTGCTACCAAATTCAGGTAGGTCCAGTGCTAAGGGACGTAGAAGCTAAAAGGAAAGGGAGGACAAGTTTGTAGCTCCCTGTCCTGTTAAATCTGCGCCTGTGGAATGTACACATAAAGATGCATACCCAAGTACTCCCAAACTTCGGTAAGGAGAAGCTCAAGCAGTTGATTCTCCCTAAGCATTTACAGCACCCAGTTAATAATCACAATACATAGTCCTTTGCCAAAACCAAACACTGGTCACCCCATTACCCAAGTAGTTGGGTTAAGAGGTAACCTTAGCAAACTGCCCCTCTCCACCCTGAGCAGGTCCCTGCGCTGTAATACTGTGCTGTGTTGCTGAACAGGCACACAGCTAAGCAACAGCCGCTTTTCTCCTTGCTTGAATTCTCTCATCCAGCAAATGAAAATCCTGATTTTTGGTTCAGTCCTACAGCAATTTCAAATCAGACTTGAAAAGCTAATCATGGTGAGTTCTGGTCTGAGAAAAAAACCAGTCAATAGCATTTCTCCATTCATGTTCACGTTCATTCTGACTTCCTGGTCACAGCACACACTTTTGATACAGAAACACGCAAAATGAATTGCTGAAAGTTACAAAGATAATCTTGTAATATTCACCCTGTTATCCTGAGGCTTCAGATCAGTGCCTTAAAATTCATCATTTTAATTAATCTTGCTTGTCCACAGAAAAGGTGAAACTTTTCAGTCTGCCCTTTAGTATAATTAGTATCTTATTGTTCGTCTGAAAGTCCTCCTCTTTTCATCTAACTCACCGATGCATTTTGACAACTAAATTGGGTGAACAGAAGCTTTAATTACTTTATTTTTCTTGCTTTTACGCACTGCATGCGATAGCAATAGATTAGTCTAAATCTGTCAGTATGAAACTAAAGCTTCCTACACAATTTTTTCCTCGGCAATTATAAATGCAGAGAAATAACTGTAGTTGCACCCATCTTGTAGTCATTTCTTCATGATACCAGAGAGCCATACATATCTGCATGCATGCACACACAAACACCCTGAAATTTAGCTATGTGCGTAACTAGAAGGACAGACAGATACAAACGTATGTGTAGTCATTTCACTTTTTATAAACATGCTCAGCACATGCCACTCAAGGATTTATAACTTCGTCTGGGCACCTTAATTCCTTTATACTACAGTATGTTAAGTCATACCCAGTTGTATGCTTTAAGTACCTTAGATTTATAATACTGCCATCTAAAATTATAATATATAGGATCATTATAAGACAACATTTTATGAATATTTTCAGAAATTAAAATTCATTCATTGGCTCAAGCATATTCAGAACCCCAGCTACTGGTAGCTAATGAATTTTACATTATGGTTTGCATTAGAAAATCCATCAGATCCAAGAAGCTAACAGCATGAGGGCATATTATTAAAAGTATTGCTGGCTCAATCACTACAATGCAAAGTACTCATTTCAAGGGCTTCATTTAAACCTGGGTCATTTTATATTACATCAAACCTCCTTCTGAAGATGAAAAGCTGTCTCCATGCACTGAGTAAGATTTAGGCTAAAAAGGAAGAATCTCTGCTTACAGTACCCATACCTGTACAGATACAGGCTTTTTTTGGACCAATGTCACTAGGCAATTTGTGTTCTGCCTCAAGACAGTAAATAAGTATAGACTAGTCTACATAGATTAGACAATATTAGACAGCTAGTCTAGAAAACAGAATATCACCAGACCTTTTCAATATGAAATTACTGAAATTGCTTTATTCCTTCATAGGCCATAGTCAACATCAACTAAGTACTGAGATGCTGATTCAGCACATAACTTATTTTAAACATCTCAAATGTTTGATTAGGCAATGTGCTTAAGTACCTTGCTGAACAGGGTGCCTTGATAAAATTATGAATTCTTGCAGCATGACCAAAGAATTAATTCATGCCTATCAACAAACTGAACATTTCCATTCAGAGTATTCAATGTGTATGGAGTACAGCATCAACCCAACAGGCAAGCTGAGAAATTAGATCTGCACAGGAGTGCAAAGGATGCAGAAGGTGATAACTGACTCCACATCACTTGATAAGAATCTTTCAATAAGAAGATTGCTGCGAAAGACATAGGACTGCTACTCTGACATTTTTAACTGACTGAAGAACTTTCTGACTACATACATACATACGTACACCACAAGAACCTGAATTGATGTGTCTTGGCAGTACACATGCCTGTTTTCCATGGTATCTGTAGCAAAATTGGTCTTTCAACCACTATGTGCTCGTGTGTCATGGTTTAACTGCAGTTGGCAACTAAGCACCACACAGCTGCTTGCTCACTCCGCACCCTCCCAGCAGGATGGGGGGAAGAGAATTGGAAGGGTAAAAGTGAGAAAACTTGTGGGTTGAGATAAGAACAGTTTAATAATTGAAATAAAATAAACTAATAATAATAATAGCAATAGTAGTAGTAGTACTAGTAGCAATTGTAATGAAAAGGAAAATAACAAATAAAGAGAAATAAAACCCAAGAGAGACAAGTGATGCAAACAAAAACAATTGCTCACCACCAACTGACCAATGCCCAGTCAGCCTCTGAGCAGCAGCCCTCCCCAACCTTCCCCCTAGTTTTACTGCTGAGTATGATGTCATATGGTATGGGATATCCCTTTGGTCAGTTGGGGTTGGCTGTGTCCCCTCCCAACTCCTTGTGCACCCCCAGCCTCCTCGCTGGTGGGGTGGTGTGAGGAGCAGAAAAGGCCTTGGCTCTGTGTGAGCACTGCTCAGCGGTAACGACACACACTGTTTCCAGCATGAAGCCAAACCATACCCCTAGCTACTATGAAGAAAATTAACTCTACCCCAGCCAAAGCCAGCACATCATGTGAGCGCAATCTCTCTTTGAGCACGATCTCTTTATTAGGGCTGTTCTTCAAAGAGAGGTTTTGATAACTTAAGAGACAAATTACCCAAGGTAGCTCCTAACTTCCTATTTTCTGCTAGCTTGACTTTGTCTGCCAAAAATAGAAATGGAGAAAAAATGGATTTTTTTATTCTGGTATTCTATTAATTGTCTAAGATATCACCAGAAAGCCATTCAAACTTACCAATCTACTCATGTAATTTCCAGATCCAGAAAATTACAGAAAAAATTAAGAAGGGTATTTATTGATAAGGTATTAAAAAAGCACTCCAAATAGTCAATTAGGTGAAGAAGTCAACAACCAAAAATGAATTAGCTGGAGCTGAAGGATTTTCTGTATTAGTTGAAAGGAACCTTATGTCTGTCCCTGCACCAAAACCAGGTACTGAACAGCTGCTGCCTAAAGAACTACTGTGTTGGTAAAAATACCAAAACAGACATAAAAAATGTCTGGTGGGTCATGAAGCAAGTGAGTAGCAACTGTACAGCTTCCAAATAGGGACCAATACATAAACTGGGACCTCAGAGGAATTGGCACTGGGTTCTGTGCCATCCATTTTTATTAGTGACCTATGGGACTGTGTGAACCCCGCTTCATCAAAATCACACAAAGCATATGCTGAAGGATGACAAAACCCTTTGAGAATAGAGACATCCTGTAGTTCTGAAGAGCTTAAAGGTTACTTTCAATAACTGTGGTTTAATGTCAAGTAATGAATTCAGAAAGTGATAGAACCTAAATGCAAAATAGACACTGCTGTATAGAAAGTACTAATACAGAAATAAGCTTGAATCAGATTGATAAGACATAGACTTCTCTTTAAGATATCAAGAATTCATAGTTTTCTCTTCTGCTATATGAATTTAGACGTCTAACTCTGAAAAAAAATTCCCAGTCCTATACATTTTTCTAAAAGATGGTTCAGTTTTGCCATATTGCCAGAACACAAGGCAAAAGTACTGACCTAGTAAGAATATAGCAATAAACATAAATAAATACAGAAAAGTGCACAGAGCTCCATGCTGCAGAGAAGAAGTTCCTGAAGCTCAAATTAAATTGATTCTAGGACAGGATCACTCAATAGACATTTTCTGATGAAGTAATACTCTGGTTCTACATTGACTTTAGACAAGTTATCTCAGGAGTATTATTAATACTGCTCTCTTACATTATATAGGTGAATGATATCTAATTAATTTGTCTTTATTCTGAAAACCAGGGTAATTTACTTCCATGAAA